CCGGGAAAAAAGTTGTACTAAAGCATACAATCTTCTCTATTAGAAAATGTTAGAATATGCGATAATGAAACAACAGCTGATCAAAGTATCCAAATGTGTTAAGCAAATGCCGAGCAAAGAATGCTCGCAGTGTGAAGGTCATGGAATACCAATGAAACATGTAGGCAGTGTTTTTTTTACAAAAGCAACCAGGATTGATCAATTATATCACAGTATGAAAGCAATTAATCAGTACGGCATGCGATGATATGTGAAAGTTCATATCACGTGTAGGTTACAAACTCATGTACCGGTGAAAGCGAAAATACCTCTCTAACACGATTAAGCAAAATTTTAGCAAAGTGAACTAATAAACAAAAAACACAAAATTTGGATTTTCTCGTACGGAGAAGACGAAAGCCTTGAGGAAAATGACAAAGGTAATTAGCAATAAAGAAGCTTTGAAAAGAAAGGGAAAATAGAAATCATGGCTCTAAAATCCAATGAATTGGCTGCAAACAAAAAACATTTATTTAAACAAATGTGACATGTATGTATATCGTATACAAAGTTTAAAAATATTAGAACGCAAGATATACTTGTATTTCTAATTAAATGGTGATTGGACACGGAATTTGAATTCTGTACACGCTTTTGATAATAAATTAAGATAAACCATAGGCTCAAATAATTCAAGGAAATTTTTTACAGAATAATTAACGAATATTTATATTCAAATGTTTATTCCGAGGTTTGAGCAAACACTCCCAGTGCCTTTTGCATGAACTTTTATTATTTCGTAGCTTGAATTAATACATATACAACAATCACTCTTCAAACAAATTGCATATTATGTAATCATTATTCCTATATTAAACTGAAACAAGGTCTGGCATAACTGAAACAAGATCTGGTTAAGTACAGCATTCTAGTGACATCACTAACATGGGATACCCACACCAATACTCGGGGAAGTCCTGATATTCAAGGTGTAGTAAGCTGAAATAAAATAGGAGTTGTAATTCAGTATTATTGTATAGTAAAGGCGTGAACAATGCCAGTAAATCATTTCGTGCATTCAGCAGTAAACAGTTGAGTGCTTAGGGACACTCATAACGTCAAACATTATTTCCGCGTTTTCAGACTTGGTCCAGGCTTGCGGGTAAATTTTGCTTCCTTTTGGGCAAATGTACCCACGTTTGTCCATTTGGTCCGATTCAAACATCGCTGCAACGGCGTCATCTATCGAGCAACCAGTGCAAGCCAAGGAGGGGACAAGAAGTAGAAGGAAACGTGAGACACCAGCAAACCGAGTCGCAGATGAGCTGGAACACCACGAAGAACAACAAGTCAGCCAAGTACTCAACAACTATTTCCATTTTCCTGCTCCAGCTGGCACCGTTTGGTTCCAGCAAGGTTTGCTTTTCTTCTAAACTTTTAGCCTACTTTGCTTACAAGCACCGCTAAGCAATCGGTTTCTTTCGTACATACCATATTTTAGCCCATTCTTCTAAGATATGACAGAAAATGCAATGAGTTTATGCTGAATTACGATCAGAGAAACGCAGTCCTTAGTTTACAACCGCAACAGTTGACCAAAACAAAAAAAGGCTACTTGGTAAAATATGATATAGTAAAAACTTCGGACAGGGTAAAATTATATCAGAAAACCGGACGCAAAAATGCCAAATTTAACGCTAAAATAACAAATCGAATTGTATCGTTTCATTGTCGTGTTTCTTCTTGCCGATGGTGCAGCTGACAAATTCATTGTTCTCAGTTTTGTTCTCTCATTCGCGTGATTCCATGCAGCCGTTCAAGCGAATTCTCATATCACATCGGCGATCTTTTTTGTATTCTTTTAATATTGCGTGGGCATCATTCGATAATTTGGGTTTGTTCAAGAAAAAAACGAAGTGAATGAATCAGTCTTTTTTATTATAGGGATTTAGAACCACTGCACCACCATATCCCTATATTCAGTTTTGCAGGTCATTCTTTAATTTGTTTATTGTCTATCAAGTTGATACTAATGGTTTATCGTACTTGCAATAAAAACTTCCCATTTCATCAGTGGAGACATGAGGAAACACTGGCGGGGGAAGAGGATGGGGTGGTATAGGAAGTGAAAATGGAGGGGGCAGATGAAAGAACCGGGTGGCGGCTTTTCTTGATTGATGTTTCATTTTTTTTTTCATAGGGAGAAGGGGTAGAGAACGGATCTCTGATCATAGTTTTTATTTATTTTGTTTTTTTTTAAAGCGTAACATGAGTTTAAGGTCGTATGAGCGGAGGTCAGCACATTGCTCAGATTTTTGTATTAGCCACTTCTACACCGAAAATTCTTTGCCTAACTTAGCATAGGTAATTTGACCAGGCGCAGTTAATAGCGAAACCCAACTATTCTTGGGATGTCTAATTTTCTAGTGCTTTGACCAACAGTACATCACCTCATGGTCAACTGAAATGGCATCTGCAAATATAAAGGTAAAAGCCAGCAGTTCTCCTGGAGCTTACTCCGAAAGCACAACATGGAAATCTCAATTTTCCCTCCTCCCCTACTCTCCCCTCCTTTTTTCCTCTTCCCCTTTATGCAAAATTTCCGGATGAGGCGCCAAGGAAATTTTAACCCTTTATTTGCAACATGTGAATGGTAAATATTTGAATGGATGGCAGCAGTTTGAAGTAAAATTAATGTAGCATGCAGTGTCAAATCCCACCACTACCCCCTTTTCCTATTGCTTTGCTTGCAATTTTCAGCCCTTTCTCCCTCGCGCCCCCTTCTTGGCCCAACCCTGTTCATGAATGCCTTCGCGTGTATTCATTCATTTCATTTCATGTAAAATTATCATGTCTTATGCGCTTCTGCGTTTCCAGCGTTTTTCTTGCACCTCCGTTCTTTTTTTTGTTCTTTTTCCCAGATTTGGTCCCAGTAAAACAATCAAAAGTCGATAAACCCACTGAAAGGCTAGCAACTTCTCCATTCTTTTTGTGGATTTTGTGCTGCAGCAGTTGCACAAACGCATATTGTCGAGAATTAATTTTTAACAACAACCTGTAAATTTTAAACAAATTCAAGAATATTAACAATTTTTCAGCCGAGCAGATTTCGACGGCCACTTCTACAGAACAAATGCTCACATCGCATGAGCAACTTCTTCGCGCCCAAAATGCTCGCTTGCAAGAATTTACAATTTCAAACGATGAAGTGACTAGGTATGTCTAGAGCGCAGACATGAAAAGAACAAAATTCCCTCAGCATTTTCAAAAAACGTACAACGAAACATTAGTGAAAAACAAAATTTCAGCATTTTTGTTCTATTTTATGAATACTTCTTGTTAATTTTGTGGAGAAGACGAAGGATCGCAAAACACTCAACGATAAACTTGATGTCTTAGATCAGGATGGATGGTGAGACAGTGGAAGAGATCGAAAAAAGTCCTAACAATAAAAGAAACTGTGAAAACACTATTTCGAAAATATACTTCTAAAAAATTCTGGCGTATTCATGTTTTTTTAAAATCAGGATATTTTTCCACAGACATTTTTTCTTTTTTATATTTGCCTATATTTTTTTCTCCACTGTTCTGTCTGGGTTTTTATATGGCCTTACCAATATTGCGAGTTGAAATCAAACATTTAGCAAGGGTCAAGGTTAGGCAAAAAAATTGGTGTGGTTACAGCGAACATAATTTTTTCTGACTCGTATTCAGAGTCTGAGTGGTAAAAATTCACTAAGGTCATCAAAATTTCTTCAAGCCGTCGATGGGCCTAAAATTCGTTTTACTGAATTTGCTATTCCATTGGTCCGAATGAAAGCGGTGATTTTTCAAATCTTATTCCAGCACTACTCCAACAATGGTACCAACATATACAGTTCAGCGTTCAGCGTCACCTAGCAGTTTGTTGTTATCTACAAAGCACATCTGCGCAATATGCGGTGATCGCGCTTCCGGCAAACATTACGGAGTGTACAGGTGCACTGTTCGCTTTTTCGCCAGACTGTACGATACCCGAAAATTTTATTTTTAAGTCGACTAGCTGGCCGGATATCGATCCTTTACATAGGAAGGAGAGGGTGTGATTTTGAGGTTTTCCTTTGCGCCCGTTTGAGTAGCGGGATCTGTGCCATACGGTAATACCCTACAGTATACGAGCGTTTTCGTTTACATTACTCCTTTCGATATCGTGTTTTTTTTCGTTTCATAATTAGTCCTCAGCAGGTAAATTAGCAGCTGCCTATTATAATACTGAAAACACACCCTCCATGTTTGTCTTTTGCTAAAATTCCCTTTCCCTAGTCGAAATTTATGCATATCTTCAAAAAATGACAGCTTCATGTACAGGCATCTGGAGAATACCAGCTTTTTTGCAAGAAGTTTAGAAGAGGGGGACAGAAGACTGTAGCAGTTTTGAAGATAAAACTTAAGGAAAGCAGCAAAATAGAAAGCCAATATTAGCAGAGCATGCTAATTGCTGCAGTTGCATCAGGACGTAACAATGTTATACATAAGTAATTAAAGACAATTTGCCGGAAACTGTAGTGAGCAGAAAGATTTTTGCACTGGCAGTGAGGTACTCAAAATGCTCATTTTCGTAGAAAACGTTGTGCTTATCGAGCAAGTCGAAACAGTTTTATCAACAAGGATCAAAAGTTAGATTCGAAAAATCAGACTCTTTCGGCAATCTGTATTAAAGGCGGAAGCACTCGAAAGTACGGTAATATCAGTACTAGTTTGCTGCTGCTATCAAAAACACTAGCATAAGCGCTATCCATGGGTCCATTTGAATGCCTTTATCAACCCTATACTTGTGCAAAAAAGCCGTAACTTTTTCATATTTGCAGCTGTGAAGGTTGTAAAGGATTCTTCAAGAGGACAGTGCGCAAGGATCTTGTCTACTTGTGTCGTGAAAATCGCAACTGTATCATTGAT